GGGTGTAGCCTGAGGAGCCAGGTGGGGCCTGGAAGCGTTGAGTCTGGGATTTGGGGGTGGGGCGCTAGGAAGCGGAGTGAGGCTGGAGAGCTGGGGCGAGGCCTGATGGTCTGAGGCGGGGTCAGCAGTAGTGAGGTGGGAGGGAAGCTGGGGGAGCGGCTTGGGGTACTGAGACTATGCGGGAAGAGAAGGGTGCGTCCGGCCAGGCCATCGAGGATCCCACCTCAGAAGAGGCCGCAGTCTTTGAGGTTCTCCTTGATGATGATGTCGGTGACAGCGTCGAAGACAAACTTGACGTTCTGTGTGTCCGTGGCGCAAGTCATGTGGGAATAGATCTCCTTCACGTCGCGCCGCATGTTGAGCTCGAGGAACTGCACCTTGATGTAGTTGCCAGCGTCCTCATACGTGTTGGGCCCTGCGGGGGAGGGGAGCTCTTACTCGCTGCCCCGACCCTTCCCCGGGCGAGATCGTGGGGCTGGGACTCCGCCTGGTGGCAGGACCAGGGATTCCCACCGTCGTAGTCCGGAAAACAGATGCTGAGGTGGGCCTTCTTTATCTTCTCGGAGAAAACGTCCTTCTTGTTGAGAAAGAGCACGATGGACGTGGTGGCGAAGTAGCGGTGGTTGCAGATGCTGTTGAACAGGTGCAGGCTCTCGTGCATACGGTTCTGAGGAAAGCAGCAGCTGTCGGGCACCAGGGGACAAGGGCAACCGCTCCCACGCGGGCCGCCTCTGACAGGCCAGCCCCGGATCTCTGGGCTCCCGGGCACTGGGGGCTGCCCCGGTCAGACGGCTCACAGACAGCCTCCCACATTGCCCCCTTAAGCGGGGCTGCTGGCTGCCTCCTCGCCTCCTTCAGACCGCTATGGAATGAACCTCCCCAGCCAGACGCTTACCCTTCCACAGCACTGTTTCCATCTGCCTTTAGGAGACTTAGGCCCTACTGGCACTCACCACTTCGTCGTCCTCCACTAGCACCATGTCGTAGGCGCTCAGCGCAGCGATGAAGATAATGCAGGTCACGCCCTCGAAGCAGTGGATCCACTTCTTGCGCTCTGAGCGCTGCCCGCCCACGTCGAACATCCTGTGGGGCCGTGTGGGCCTGAACCCGCGCATCGGGCCCCCCGGACGCCCCCACAGGCATCCCCTCTCCTCTCTATGCAGGTTGGGGAGCTCTCAGATGGGACTGGCATCTGGAGGGGCCGGGCCATTCTGCTGGGGGAGTGTCCGAGAAGGCGCAGGGTTTCTCGTAGGGATGGGACCTCTGGGACAGGACAGGGCCTCGGCGCGATCTCCCGGGCAGGCCCCTGAGCAAGGGCTCTGTGTCTTACCGGAAATTGAGGTCCTTGAAGGAGAACTGCG